AGGTACTTGGGAGCCATACGATATTATCAGACCTGATGACAGTTCAGTTTTAAAGGTTTGCAGGTTCCTCTTAGTTTTTTTAGTTATACATAAGAAAAAATAGGGACTTTCTCATGGGAAGAGTGACCGTGATCTTTGATAATAAATAAATATATAAACGCAGGTGGCATTAGGGGACTGTATAAGCAAAAGAAAACTGAAATAAACTAAATTATGCCACTGCCACTTTAAGGCTGAGCTAGTTTATTTAGCAGGTTCCAAGATAGGGACAGGAGTTCTGCTGTAGAGCATGCAGGATCTCTTCCCCAAAACCATTTTGAGAAGTAGATGTGCAGTGAAAGGAGGGCATTTGAAATCTGCAAGGAAATATGACTGGAAGTCACTGAGTGAAGAAAATCAAAATGACTTGACATTGTTTATGACGAATAATTTCCATTTATTCAAAAAGCCCAAAAAAGGAGTGAGTTTGTCGGGTATCCAATAAGGTTATATTTCATTATGCAACCAGTTCAAAATCTTTTCTTGTTGGCTGCGTGGACGGAAGTTTACACTTCCACGATGCTCCAGCTGATGCGATGTCCTTGAAACACATACAGGGCTAATTACTAAACCAGGGGCTCCCCAGGGAATGACACATTTTAGGCACACATAGCTCAGCTGGAAAAACTCCTCAACTCATTTTTCCAAACTTTTTGAGGATAGAACCACTTCCGACATAGAACACGTTAGGCTCTCTGCACTGCGCTGAAACTTCATCACATCATTCTTCAGATGTGGATTTCACTTGGACTTCAAACAATGTTAATGGACATCTGTCACCTCAAAAGTCTATTTTTTAATATATTAATACTTTCATCAAGTTTTGGAAGGTAACAAATATGTTTTTAAATGAAATATATATTTTTTTTTTAAAAGAGAAGTCAATCCCTACATTTAGTCTATGACAAGGGCTTACAGCCATATACATAGACCTCGGGTCAGACAGTGTTTGAAACCCGACAGTTAGTCTCTATGGTCTTCCCTGCTCCTATGCAGGGAGTGAATCAGGGAAAACCATAGAGACTAACTATTGGTTTAGATATTTTATAAGAATACTTTATAAGAAGACCCTGAGTGCTCTTTTAATATGAGGTCGTATTATGAAGATGTTCTGCAAGTTGAAATTTCCTGATAAATTCCCAACAATTTGTGGTTTTATGTCATCATTCTGAAAGTGGAACAGTCAGTGTTGGAACCAATCCTGTTGACCGTATTGGCTCCCATGTTGATTTAGAACTTTGTCTTTTTTCTGTTGGAGATGGTTTGATATATCTCCACCTATGAATCTAATTCTCAAGCACATTGGAGGGAACACATTGTGTACAGTATGATTATCAGAAATCATCTATCTCTCCGAAAGACACTTGTCTACGAAGGCATTTCCTCTTAATGAGCAGGGAATTATGGGATAATCCCAACAATGATATACCACGTTATAGGAGCATTGTGATTGGCAGAGTCACATCCTCGTCCAGCCGGTGCTCTAAGAAGCCTGGGGATTTACAGCAAACACAAGTACTGCAAGCATAAGTATCTTTTTTATAGTTTTTGCATACATTGTTAATGTATCTTATGTATAAACTATGAAAAATGAATGTGTGTTTTCCAGCCTGGAGTGTCTGTTAAATATATAAAGTCTTCTGTAAAATTCAATATTTATTCAAGTTGCCCATTCATCGCCTCCTTGACAAAGGCTACAGAAATCACCAAAACGCCAACATCAATAATGCATTTTTTTTACTGCAAATATTTAATGTGATCTTCTCTTAACGTGCGTTCCTATAATTACTGCTTTTTCATGGCATTAAAAACTAAACATTTTTTTCTATACTCAATAAATATACTTTATTTTTTCCCAATACTTTTTATAATCTTTTTTTTTCTAAAAAATTCCCCTATTTTCAAACTAATTTATTGCCCATTTTGCTTTGTGCTGGGTTTATGAGTAGTTTCCCCAATTTATGATGACTCCAGGACCCATTAAGACCTAAATGTTGAAAACTCACCCTTCCATCTGAAAAAGGGCGATATTAATTAAATCCATTGGCAGAGTGAGAGGCCTCTTGACTTGTCCCTCGGGCACCATCTAATAGCCTGTATTATAAAACTCCTCATCACGAAATATCCTCCTAGTACGTCGAAACCCATTGGGAGCCTGCACAAGTGATTGCAAAATTAATTGAGAAATTCCAAGGACTCTGTAGAGCCACCTGCAAAAAAGCAACGCTTGATCTTATCTTCAAACACTTTAGAGTCCCAAAGGGACACTTAACACTTTATAATACTGTCTGTCCAGCAGCACGCATTAACATGGAGCCCAAGGGGGATAAATTGGTACATATCGATATTCGCCATGATTCTAGCAGCTACTTCCACATATAACTATCATCACTCGTCTCCTGGGTATCAGAAGTCTTTTTACAGTTAAATTGTTTGAGGGTTTATATTTTTTTATAGGATAGATTGTGATTGCAGGTAAGAACCAATTTGCTCATTGTCTTTCCATTCTTTTATCTTCCTAAAAAAAACATAATTTTGTTCATTTTATGAATTTTTACATCATCATATCCTATGTGTTCCTCAATCGCTTTTTTTTTTTTGATCTATTTCTGTGCAAGGAGATTTTCAGTATCTATTACCATTGTTTAGGGTTATTTAATAAACACCGGACATTAGTGAATCTAAACCCGAATGGTAAAGTTTGGCTAAAATAACTAATTTATAAAATTCTACTACTCAATTTTCTATTTGGATTAAAATTTTCTACACTTCGATATTTTATTGAATAACCTTAACAGTATTAAAAAAAAATACATATTTATATAAATTTCCCTTTAATATTAAGTCCATTTTTAAACTAATTTTTACCGTAGTTAGAGCACCAATCAATTTTTACCAATTTCCTATAGAAACCATTTTCACTGGGAATTTTACAATTAAAATACAGCTCACCTTTTCAGCTTGAGCAATTCAGGACAAGTCCTGCTTCAGTTCTGAAATTTAAATTTGAAGACAGAGGTAATTACAGTGAAATAAATAGCCAAACAGAATATGGAACCCAGTGCGAGCTGGGAAACATGCGTTAAACAGAATAACCTTGTGATTTAAGAGAAAATGTTTTACATATTTTCATTTTTTTACTTTTAGGTTAAAGTTGCACTTTAGATTAGTTAAAGAAAAGTACCATAACGACCATTTTAGTATATTTTAGTATTTTGCTTCTTACCTGTTAAAAATTCTATTTTTTTTTTTTTAGACTCCACTGAGCCAAAGGATCTAATTTTGGAAGCTGTCCCCCATCTCTCGTCAAATTGTATTTGAATTAATTGAAAATGTATGTTTTCACTCAACAAGAAATTATAGAGAATTGACGAACAAACTGTACATTTTAGGCCAAAATGAAAAATTAAACGCGAAAAAATGTTATTCTAGTTTGGTGATTTTCGACCTAAAATTTGCAATTATCTTGTCAATATTTTCATGAATACCGGTAATTTAATTTGAAATTTGTTTTTGTTTTTTTATTCCTCGAAGTCAGCAAGCTAGCTGCTCCCACTCTGTGGATTTTTGCAGAAAGTCCAACAAGTCCAGTAATGGTTAATTCATGAGTATGACAATAGACTGGATTGTTTGTGTACCGCTAATGGGATGCAGTGCATCCAAATTGTCCTCTTTTTTTTACTTCCCTTTTGAGAAGACCAGCTGTTAGCCCTGACTTCTGTTCTCTGGCCTGGGGGGATGCTCAGCACTGTGTGTCCCCTGGGGGTCTTGCATGATGTCGCTTCATTAAGCACTAAATGGTTACATTAATTCTAACAGCTCTTCAGAGATATAACTGTCACACATGATTTAGTCCTCTCCATCTGACGTGGGCATTTACCAAACTCGCAGTAAATGCTCGATTGAGTCACCACACTGGCAGGTGGGGTCATTGAGACGCTGCATGGTGACACCAGTGTCTGACTGGAATGTGAGAGTGTTTTTAATTTTTATTGCCATTTTGTAGCACCAACGTACTTGGCAGCGCTGTACAATTTTAACACGGAGATATACCAGCAAATAAAAGTATTACAAATGTTACCAGGTTAATGAGGAACCAGCTCTAAGAGCTTACAATCTAGAGGTGTAATCTTTATTGAATTCTCAGAGGCAAAAAGAAATTAAAATAATTGCTATTAGCTAAACATTTGTATCTTTTTGAGTGCCATTAGGGGAAACATGACAACATGGATTATCTGCATGAATCATTTTTAAGATTTACAGCAGGTACTTCTAAAATGCCCGTTCCCTTCATTATTTATTGAATTTAAATGGGTGGTAGTGACCAGCAGCTCCAAGTTTATATTGAGGGGGGAGATATCTGATATTAGTTACACAGACGGTATGATTATCAGGTCCACAAAACAGGAGACAGATGTCTGTGCTACCTGCCCACCTTCTACACCACCGTAAAAAGTTGGATTATTTAAAAGGACCCTCTTGGTACTATTACCACTACAGCTTATAGTACTGATTATGGCCTAAATTTAATATTTTTGGATAAACTTTTCAATTGATTTAAAGGGACACTATAACCACCACAACTACAACAAAAGGTGAATGTAGTTGCTCCGGTGAGTATTGTCACCCTGCAGGCTTTTCAATGTCAATATTGTCTTTTAAGACATGCCTGCCTAGTTATACCTCTAGGTGCAATTACTCAGATGACCACTAGAGGTGCTTCCAATCTCAGCATTGAGGGGATCCTGAGGAGATGCTGAATGGTGCAGCATTTTGCCGTGCATGCGCAGTAGCCTCCCAATGCTGTCATATGAGAAAGTATTGGATTGGCTAAGAGCATCAAAATTGAGGCAAGACCAGGTGAAGCCAGCTGCGGTAAGACGCTATAGTGTTCCTTTAATATTTTTTGATGAAATTATTTTTTCAAACTATTTACATATCAAAAAATATATCATATATAAAAAAAATATTAAGCAGCAGACCCTCCCTCCCAGACCCTCCCACCTCCTGGACAGCTCACTAAGAATGCAGCTTCACAATGGATGCTGTCCAGGAGGTGGGAGGGTCTGGGAGGGAGGGTCTGCTGCTGATTGGCTGGAATGTGTCTGCTGACTGTGAGGTACAGGGTCAAAGTTTACTCAATGATGAGTCCATGGCGAACCGTTCGTGGCGAACCATTCGCGAACCGTTCGGCGAACAGTTCGGGACATCACTATATATCAAGTATATAAAAGAGCTTTTCCAAAATTATTAAATTTAGGCCTATTTTGCAAGGGGTCTGCTGGCAGAGCGCTTTGATACATTCTGGGACTCTCATATAGCCCAAATTATTAGAATACCTTACACCATCATGGTTAGAAGAACCCTTTAAATGGTTAATATCGGGTTAATTTGTTAAAAAAATAGATGTTTTTGTGTTCAGTGTACCAGCATGCACTTGGCTTATTTTTTCAAAATGGCTGCTAATTTTCTATCTTGTGCATGCGATTTAAGAATATTTCCATTAGTATAATGACTTTCTCTGCATGTTGAGTGATATGTGTTGTTAGAAATATATTAAACATAGTTAAACCATTTCAAAAAAATTCTTGAACACATAGACCATATATCCTTTGCTGATTAACATAACGTTGCTGATTTTTGTCATTTTTTTTTTTTTAAACCTTACATTTTAAAATACCTCAGATAAAAAAAATTCTGTGAAATTCCAATTAGGATAGGGTTCCAAAAGAATACATCACCTGGTAATGTAATTTGGTGCGTGCTTTGCAACATTGGTAACTGGAGATTAATAGAAATCTAAAACACTGAGAGTATGGGGAACCATCGAGTTCATCTGGTGATTTTAATTGTGAAGACTCAATTCTCAAGAAAATTCCTTTTGTGGAGAGCATTGTTTCAGGGGTTTAATATACAAAAGGCTGGAGCTAGTGCTTTGTGTTTGGTCTCTCATATTTTGCCATCGGGATTAAAGGCTTTTAGAAACAAATTGTGTTAGGAAACACGACATGCATTTTTCAGTGGGATTATAAATGTTTTTGACGCATCATTCGGAAATTGCAAATGCCTTTCACTACCCTTGTTTGCAATGACTCAAGTTACCCGGCCGACAAATTAAAAAATCCCTTGTTGGTCAACGCATGTTCAGCAGGAATAACCTGATTATGGCGTTTCTTTTCGGAGTCCTCCGTAAGTTATGAGTACTCGCTGTAGGTACTACAGATGTTGGTGAGGTCATTATCCCATGATCCTCAGCCTACCTTTACACCAGAACTGTTAAGTACAACTAAAGAATGGTAAAACATCATGGGAACTTTTTCACAATAGTTGAGGGATGCTTCCTTTTGCCACTCTTGCTTCAGACCCCTTTGTATATCATAAAAGACTGAGTTGACATTTCCAGCTATCGAACCTCTGGCTCTAGGATTCTACAGCTGGCTTTCTTAACCAAAGTGCTATTTAATCAAAATTTAGCTTAATGAGATAGTTATAGTGCACAGACTCTGCACTCTCCATTTTCAAAGTTCCTTATCTACCAAGATAACTACTTATCTCATAAACTCCTGCTCTCTCTGTGAGTTCCGTTTATCCTAAGTCCAGTTTTCAAGTTATTTTTGTGTCATTGTGCCATAACTATATTCATTTTGGTTGAAAATAGAGTGCTAAATGGATACAGTACAGACTACCGGTAAGTAACAGCGCACACACAGAAACACAGTTTTAAACCCCACAAGGCTACCCCAAATCTCCTATCTTAGCACACAAATATGAGGATTCAGTTTCAACATATGGCCATACAGTGTTAAGTTCACCACTACTTCACAGTACCCCAATATCGGTGGGTCCTACATAAATTTTTACCATTTCCCCACATTAGGATATGCTATTCCGTCCTACAAAAGGAAGGCTTTAACACCATTGGAGCATCATAGCTAGCCATAACGATCAGGCCTTCTTCCAGCCAAATACTTACCCTCCGAGGAGATCGAGATTGGGGGACCTGCCTGACAACTCAGGCAGCGCCCCTGCAGCAATCCAGCTGATCCAAGTCATGTGATTGCGATGACACTGAGTTCACGTGATTTAGATCAGCTTGATTGCTGGATCGGCATGATATGTAATTCCAATCTAAGTGTATTTTGATACATATAAATATATATATATATATATAAAAAGCAAAATACACAGTTTTATATATATATATAAATTAACTTTCTCACCCCCTGTGGATGGTATTTTACCTCATTCTCTGATCCTCTACCAGAGGCCTGGGAGTTTGAGGGTTCTGTGCAGTATCTTAGCTGTTCCTAGAACTGCATCTTCTGGACAGCGATCTCAGATGTCCCACCTGGAATCTGTTGAAGCCATTCCCCCAACTTGGCCCAAAGTGCTTCTATCACAATTGTGACTACCACTGCCTTTATTTTCCACATCCTTTCAAGCTTCTCATCTCTCAGTCCCTGGTATTTATCCACCTTCTCGTGTACCTTCTTCCTCATGTTATAATCACCGGGTAATCCCACATCCACCACCGCTGCAGTCTTCCCTTCCTTGTCTACCTCCATGATGTTATGTTGGTTGGCCAGTACTTACTTGTCCATTTGGCTTTGAAAATCCCACACGATCATAGCTCTGTCATTTTTAACTACTCTTTGTGGTATCTCCCATCTGGACTTAGACAGGTCCAGACCATATTCTGTGCAGATATTTTGGAACAAAATCCCAGCAACATGATTGTGCTTCTCAGTGTATGCTGTCCCTGCTAAAATTTTGCATCCGGCCACTCTGTGCTGCATTGTCCTGTCTGGTGTGGAAGACCCCCATTTCTATCGATCTGGTGTTGAGTGCATGTTCCTGTGCTGCTAGGATTAGTGCCTCAGTGGTGTATTCCAGACCTGCATTTTCCAACCTTTAGTAGAATTTTATAATGTGTGCCACATCCACTTTCTGCCTATGGTACACCCCATGAGGAGATACGTCTTGCCATGGAACCTCCTCCTTTTCTGCATCCTTTATCTGCTGTTGTCTCAGACATTCCCTTAGAAGTTCTTCTTTTGGAGCCATCTTCTTGATTTCATTGTGGATACTCTGTGTTTCATCAAGGACTGTGGCCCTGAAACTCATCAGGCCCCGACCTCCTTCCCTTTGGCTGGTGTACAGTCTATGGAATTTCAGGAAATCCTCCATTTATAGAGAAAGGTCTCCGGGTCTTGAGATCCATGGTGACCAGTTCTTCTCTTGGCCAGGTTATTATTTCAGCTGGGTACCTGTGTTTGATGGCTTGGATCTTGTTCTTGCCATTGCGCTGGGACATCAGGACCTGTCTGACTCTGTGGAGGTACTTGGACATTGCTATCCTCCTTGCCTCTTCCTCATGGTTGTCATGTGTTTGTGGTACCTGCAGGTACTTGTAGCTGTTTTCTACATCTCCTATTTGACTTTCTGATACTTGAACATTCTGTCCTGATCACCTTTTTCTCTTTTTGCTACCATCCACCCGCAGTTATCTAATCCGAATTACATACCCTAGTTAGGTGAATCAGTGAGTCAATGTCCCTCTCACTCTTGGCATACAGCTTGATGTCTGATGGTAGCTTCACTCTTGAACCTGTATCCATATCCATTCTTTATGATAATCTGGCTAAGAGGGTTCATGCCTGTGCAGATCAGCATTGGGGTAGCACATCACCTTGGTATGAGCAACATTTGATGTTCACTAGTGTCATTGTCCTGGAATTGACTTCTAGAGTTTTTTTCCAGGCCGTGCACAGATTAGTTGGTGTTTTCCTCTGGTGTTGTTTCTAATCCCCTTTTGAGTATTGCTCATGTACTGATTTATATGCCCATCAATCTTGGAAGCTATGATGCCTGACAGGACCTTCCATGTTGTGGGGAGTCAGGTGATCGGTCTTTAGTAAGATGGTGTTGTTCCCTTGTGAGGCTCCTTCATGACCAGTATTGTTCTGTCTTGAGGGAGCCTGTTGCTAGTAGCTGGTTTTTTTGTGCTGCATAGGTGTTCATGCAAGATTGTTAGTTTCTTTATCCAGTAGGTGTGAATCATGTCAGGTCCAGGGTCTATGTGGGATATTCGTGATGGTGACAGGTTCCTGTTCTGGGAGAATGCAGTGGTCTGCTTTCAAATTCTAGTAGCCACTGGGCCTCGGTGTTATGTGGTGCTTCTTTCTCCCAGATATTCTTCCAGTACTGTTCCGTCTCTGCTCTGGCCGGGTCTTTGCAGGAGATATGGTGGATACATCTTGGATAATGCTTTGGTAAACAGGGCATTTATTCTCTTAGACTCTGCTTCTCTGGTATATAGCATAATTCTGGTTGCCAGTGCTGACAATATTTCCAGAGCCTCTGGTATAGGCATATCCTGGTATTTCCTCAAATACTTCTCCTTGATCTGCCCGCCTCTGTGAAGTTAATCTGGCTTACTAACTTCCTTCTGTGTTGCCTTTGTCTTGGCTGCCGTCTTGGTCTCCATGGTGGGCATTGTTTCTCCTTCAAATATAGAAATCAGGTATGCCTAGTGCAACACACAGGATTGAGGGAGTCTGACTTATAATGGGTCGCTCAAAATACTGGACAAAAACAGGAATTCACCAAATACCTGTCCAAACAATTGTGAGTCAAAAAGAATAGCACCTTGGTACAGTTCAAAAAGTCCAGGAGCTGTTATACCCAAAAATGGCTTAAATGTGTACGGTTATACTGAGTATCTTGCAGCAGACATCCAAATATAACAACAATATGTATGGTGTGTACAACTTTAAACCTGCTAGAGACAGATTCAATATGGTATACACCAAATGATCTACTTCGCTTAAGTAGTTATATAGTATAAAATAACAGCATGGATGGCTGTTTTCTCTTATGTGTTAAGGTGTAGTGACGCCGTTGATCCAGGTCGATATCTCTTTAAATCAACTATTGGCAGATTGACTAAATAATATGCTAAGAATATTTCCTATAATTGTGCAGACCCAATGAAGATACTGCAGAGGATGTAATGGGAATTACACAAATTAGAAAAATTAGAAAAAAACACTAAAATCTAATGCTCAAAAATAAAAGTAAAGAAAATTCTAATAATCAAA